ATAATTAATAATTTAAATAATATTTTGCTGTCATGCACCATTTCAAACTAAATATTCTTCTACTATTATTACTACAATTTTTAAAAACAATTTCATTTTGTATTAAGTTTGTTGCTAGATTTTACTAGTAAATGCATATAAAACATTCCCTATATATATCTAAATCATGAGAGCAATGTTATAACTTCCAAACGAACAATTGTAATGCAAAATCTAATACTAAAATATGTATTCAACTTATATAACTGAGAACAAAAATAACCATTGCAACATTTCAAACTGTTTACTTACCGGTACTACAATATAAATTCCTGGTTGCTTTTCTTGAATAACATGAATTGTTTCAATTATGCCCTCAACTATTTGCTCGGGGGTATTAATATGATTATTTGTTCCTACATGTAGCACAATGACCTTAAACATCTACATTAACTCATGCAAGTCCTCATGAAATTAATAGTACCTTAGGTTTAACATTATCTAATTCTCCATTTTTTATTCTCCAAAGTACATTTTGTATTTTGTCTCGGTGAATTCCAAAATTTAAACAGTGCAAAGGTGCAAACAATTCATTCCATAAATCTGTATGTTGAAGAGCTTGAAGAATGGAGTCTCCGATAAATATTACATCAGGATCTTTTTCACGAGTTTCAGAAAGAAACCGATTGTGCTTAAATGCAGAAAATGTTTAAAAAATTCTTAAAATTACTTGAATTTCCTTACAATACTCATCCACCTTTGATCACCATCAACATCTTCTACAGGGGTCGGTATAATACAAGGATTCATTGTTTTATCTTTAAGTAACAGAATTTTTTCTTAACACATCTAGTACCTATCAAAAAAAAGAGTAAATTAATTATCTAAATGTTGGAAACTTCGATTTTAAATATTTTCAGTTTTTGTTATGCACAATTATGTACATATTTCAGTTTTTGCCTGCTTTATGGAGTTTGCTCAATTATTCGTGCAGTTTATGGATTCTTTAAATAACTAAAATTTCCCTAAATATCAAAAACGAATTTTTTAATTATTTTTATTCTAATTTTTATTTTCAGCCTTTGAAGATACCCCATATCCAAAATAAGGTACAGTTTGAAAAATTATTAATAATTGCTATTTAGGAAAAAAGATATTCTCATTTTTATAATAATAGAAGTTCGAATTAATGGGCTGGCTATATGTATGAGCATAGATTATTAATATGGCGCTTAATGTTATTGAGCGCTCTTGTTCCATAAATTGTGAAACTGCAGAGCCGGTGGATCGTTTTAAAAGTTTACCTATTGTCAGGATATAACAATTTATATATATTTAAACAATACAGTTTTCCTTATTGAAACAATGTACTTGTTCCACTTTTAAAGCATTTTATATGAAGTATCTTGAAATCATGATAGATATAATTGAATACATCAGAAATTTGATTTTCCCATCTGATGTAAACAGAAAGAAGAGACGGTAAGCAAATCAAATACGGTATATAATAAAATGTTGCAAATTACATTCGTAAAATTTGTTTTAGTTCAATATTTGAACAAGGCGAAGTCCCTGTCAAAATTCGAAGAACTATGTCTCAACACCCTCATTTAGAAGGTAATGTTAATAATAATTGAAAATTCCTTTACCAATTTATCATTTCTAGTATTTTTTTTGTGGAAAAATATTCAGAATGGTGTATTATTTATCTTAACGTAGTCTGTTTTAACCAGTACAGCAATATATTTCTTTATATGTAGTTACTCTCTATTTAAAATTTAATTTGTTCAAATTGTTTGGCTTACTGTTTTTGCTGTTTTATTACTAAAAATAAGGTCATGCTTAGTAAAGTACATGTCAGTAAGAGCCAGGAAGAACAGAGGAGGATAGGAAAAGAATAATATTTTTTGAGTTTCTGCATTTTGCTAATCATTACAAAACTTTTTCAACTTTCCGCTTCACCTCCTGGTACCCATCTAGTATACTGTACTATACTAAATCTGAGCCTAAAAATGAATCATAATAGGAAAGAAATTGATTTTACTTTAA